AGAGTGTAGTCGGATGGCATAATTTCAATGCCCACAGGTACAATACGCACTGTAAAATAATCGATAGAAAATGTGATTATTATTGCATTATAGATTAGATTTTGTTTAAGTTATTCGCTAATTAATCTATATTATGTTAAATCATAAAGTAAAATTTTAATGAGAATTTAAAAATAAAAATATAATTCCAACTCTATTGATCGAGAAGAAGATTGTAAAACTATTACTTTGAATATCAACTTAAAATGAAAACACATTATTATTTAAATTATTAAATGCAGAATTATTTCAAGTACCTAAAATATATCAAAACCAAAATATATCAATGAAATTAAAGCGTGGAACGAATCATAATAAATAATTATAATTGTTACAAATACAAATGTTAATTACAAATACACCATTAAAGCAATATATTTGAAATGTAAATGTCGTTCGTTATTTTAACAGATAAATGATTATTGATGTTACATAAAACCATATTTATTTATCTACCTTTGCACAAAATCCATTGAATATACAAAAATTTCCTAATCACCTTAATTACAATTATATATCATTTGCATCTGACCGAGAAATAAAAATTTCAACATTAAACAATGATAGCAAGCTTGTTTTTTTTTTTTTTTTTTTTTTTTTTTTTTAACAAATATACTATAAAGCAAATATATTCAAACGAATGCTATAATTGATTAAATTTTCAATTTGCGACATCAACGAAGATACGTATATTTCTTTAATTAAAAATTTTTAAAAAGTTTCTTCTTTGGAGAGCCGATTTTCACTAAAATCACATACATCGCGAATGAACAGAGACAAAGAAAAAGTACACTCCGGGTAAATACTGACCTCAATACTGAAGTAACCTCGGTCGACGTAATCTCCAAGGAAGAGGTACTTCGTAGATGAAGGAGGGCCACCCACTTCGAATAATTTCATTAAATCGTAAAACTGACCATGAATGTCACCACAAACTGTAAATAATAACAATAAAGTATTGAATTAAGATGTGTTGTTGTTATGAAGAAAGATATGGCTGTATATTGTTGTAAAGATATTCTAATAGCATGAACAAAAGCATTTTGTAAATATAATGGAACATATATTAAACAGATAAGTATAGAGCAGCAATCAGATGATTATGTTTAATAATGATATTGCATTATGTCATGGATCAGTAAAGCTAGGATATTGTATTGCACGGTAAATAAATATTATTACAATATTTGCTTAGCAAACCTTCAAAATAAAACAGTGTTTAAAATTATAATATTGCGTGTTAATATTTTTTTAAAAGAACAGAAATATTTGGTTAATTATATAAATAGGCTCTATTTAGCAGTATATACTTTTTTAATAATATTACATTTTTTAAAATATTTATCAATGGTATACAATAAAAATGTTCCTTTCACTTGGCTTCTATTATATTAAAGGATTAATGGAAAAGGACGGAACAGTGGAACATATTTCAAATTTGATGATAGAAAAAAGAAAAAATCGAATCGATTTTGATTGAAATTATCAAATAGATTTTCTGTTTTAGAGAATTTATGGGATTTGAGATTAATTCCGCTGGATTGCTCTTTCATTTCAACTTTGCTTTTATTATTTCGATGATCAATGTTATCCACTAATTATAATCGATGATGTAAATTGAACTCGCGAGGCTTGGGTGCCATTAAAAATTTAGCTATTCCTCTTGCTTTTAATCACTATCGACTAGTATGAATTAGTATGAAAATCTATTTTCAGTGATAATAACTTTTCATCCAAGTCCACGTTTATTGTATTTTCATTATAATTAAGTGGCAATCGTTATAAGCAGTGATAAGAATTGCAAGAAAATATGAAAATCAAATTTGTTCTTCATACTACGAGCAACAGTCACATTTTGTTGTTCATGTAAATGAAGAAAAATTCTAAACTAAATTATTTCAATAAACAATTGTTTGCAATTGCTAGTGTATTATTGAACAACATTAGTACGATGTGGTATTATTAATCGTAATTTTGTATTTTCATTTACAAACATTTAATTACATTTTACCTATTAATTTCATTGATGGGTGTGCACGAACTATCGATTATTATGCTTCAACCAAATATTTCTTTATTTTATTATTATTATTTTTCTTTTCAACTTATCGAACTAGTTACTCGTTTTTGCTCTATTGTAAAACAACAAAATTTATTTTTCACAATTTTTTCAATATTTATACTAGAAATCTGTAGTTTTCAAATAACAATTTTCAATACATTTCAATATATTTATATATATATATATATATATATATATATATATATATATATAATAAAAGATATTTACGTTGGAATTCATATATAGTAATGCAATAAATAATTGTTTTATCTTATCGATTTATAAAAAAGGTTTCAAGAATCAAATAATGAAATTAAACTATTATATTATTTTATTGGCATTTTATAAAAATAATAAATCGATAAAGTTAACCTAGATACAGTACAGTCGAGTAATTTCATATTTGTAATAATGCAATGAAATATACTTATTTATATAAATATCAAAATTATATTTTATTTTAATAGTATCATTATTTATAAAACAAATAGTTATTGTTTGTAATTTTATTGTTTCAATATTATATTAGTTTTATGAAAGAGATTGCTACGCTTATGTAATGTTAAAAATATACGACTGCAAAATATTTTAATGTGTAATTATTGTATTTGGAATTTTCGCATTCGATAAGTTTTCAAGAACATGAAACATCACGAAAATTTTAATAAGAGTCTATTAAATTTTAAATAATTATACAATATTGTTCACTTTCTTATTAAAAGTATTTTGTAAGTTTGAATTATGTGGAATTGCAATACATTTTCAGCACTTATACATTTGATTTAATTAACATTTGCAGCTATTTTGTTTATTCATTTATAGAGATGAAGTAATTTTAAATTATATGATTAAAGATAATGAAATTATAGTAATATATTATCTAAATAACTTTTACATAAAAATGATATAAATTTTTTAATTTCAAATTATACTTTCATTCAATTTTCAGATAAATTTTGTGAAAATTTTTTAATAATTCAAGTGAAATTTTAATAGAAACGAGAATTTATTTTTTTGAATAAACTATTATAATAGTTCGCAAGCTTACAAAGTACTAGCGTAAATTATTAAATATCTAAATGAAATCTATATTGTCTATTCAATCATACGTTGTAACGTCATAGCTCAGCTGGATAAATATTGCTAAAACTATTGCTTAACCGTTTAAATATATTTCAGCTTTAGAAATAAAGAAAATGTTCGTATTACGCAATAGTAATCTAATCGACTGATTTTCTATTACTTTCAATAGGCAATACATTGCCAAAAAGAATAAAACAGTTTAACGAATGTTTTACAATATTAACTAAAGTCAATTATAAGTCGAATGACGCTTCATGAAATGAACCCCTTAAAAAACTATGATATTATGATTTATTTAAGCATTCGAATTCTTAACTCTCTCCTTTGTGAAAAAAAAAACAAACAAACAAAACAGAACAAAAACAAAAAGTCAGTCGATTAAAGCGGAATCTGCAATTATAATCCGGCAAATAGATAAACTTATACTGACCGGTAACAGGTGCCTCAATGTCGATCATCGTCTTTTCGGAGCTAAGAAGGGCCGCGCCATCGTTAATGATGCGCAGCGCCGCGGCCTCGTCGATCCTTCCCTCGAGAATAAAGTGCTGCTTGAGGACATCCGGGCGTGGTCTGCCCGTCCGTGAATCAAACACCTCCGACACGGTGATCTTCCGCGAAGGTGGGAATGGCACATCTGTAGAGAAGCGAGATATTAATGGAGGTTAGAAAAATTGGAAAAACTTTATGTCGTCGGATCAGTGGATCGACGATGGATATTAGACATTTGGTCAAGGATCGCTCGTTTCATCAATTTTTACAGCTTTAGCAATGAGGCATAAGTGGAAGTTATGATCTTAGTCGTATGTCATGAATACTGTAAACTAGTGGAAGAAGTCAACTGATAGGGTGGTGAAACAAGATGTCGTTGAAATTCATGATCTCTAGTACCAAGTATTGATTTAGTACCTAGTATGTTCTACTTCGATACGCAAACCTTACTTGGTATATAAATTTGCATGGATTTTTATTGCACGAAGGAGTTCCCCTCGACTTTACTGCACAACTAATATCATTATTTGATATCCTTATTACGTGGTTGGATCAATTGTTGCTATTTGTCATTTTGAAATTTATTAAGAATTATGAATAAATTATGAATGAAAAATTTGCAAGTATTTACGTGTGTAAGTAAGTAAGTAAGAGTAAGTAAGTAAGTTTTTAATTAGTTTACTATTATAAAAATAATAAAAAGCATACGTTATATATTATTAATAAAAAAAATCATGCTATTTGTAAAACTGTAATAGCTTCTTAAATTTGAACTTTTTCAATTAATTTAAACAATCACAGTTTTCGATAAATCGTAAAATTATATAATTTGAATACATAAATATGTGGCAAAGTTTAATAATCGTGTATTTTTATTCATATATTGTTAACTGTTTTTAGCCAATTCTCTTTCAAGATCTATTATGAAATACAAACAAACAGCTTTTGAATCTTAAAAAGTTTCTACACACGCGCGCACATATCCATGTTCATATTTATGTACATGTATATGTACACAAACGTATACGCATGTACGCATGCGTGTACGTAAATACATACATACATACATGCATGCATAAATACACACATACATGCGTATACGATTGTATATGATATAAAAAATTGTATCAAAATGTTTAATTATCATTAAAATGTAATAATGTAATACCACGCTATAGGCCCGTTTCGCATAAATATTATGTATAAATGTATTTTGCCTTTAATATATTCTTTACATTATTCATGTATAATAAAAGTGTAATTTACCAGATTTTTTTTTTTTTTTTTTTTTTTTTTTTAAATAATCAATTATTTAAAGTATTTAATCATAAATTAAATACTAATGTGAATAATAGATGTATGAAATAAATTTATATTGTCGAGTGCTTATTCTATTTTAATTATATCAACAATGTTTTCTAACAATATGAAAAGTAAAATTATGACACTGTTAATTGTGAAATACAGGTACATATGAATTTTTTTGACGTCTTTTGTTGCAAAATCTTTATATCTTCATTATTAAAGTCATAACGACGACGCTACATAGTTGTGTATTTGCTTTGTATAAAAAATTTTATATTACAATTTTATTATATTAAATTATCCTTTCCCTTCTCATTCTTTTCTATCATAAATTAACCACTCTAATTCGTCTACAAAATTGTGTATCATAAAAACGAAGTAATTGCATTATATTATTTAAAAATTACATTTGTTATAAAAAAAAAAAAAAAAAAAAAAAAAAAAAAAAAAAATATTATAAAGTGATTATTACAATGTATTTAATATTTCAAACTAAATAATTATTATAAATATTATTAAACACGTGTTTTAAAAACTTGTATCAGGTTAAAATATTTAAAATATGTAACTGAAAACAATACGTTATAAGTTTATAGATAATTATAAATTTATCCTAATTAAATAAAAAAAATTATAATTGTAATATTTGTAATAAGCGATAGTTTTTAAAAATTATCATAAGAATATTGAATTAAAATTAATTGCTGTTTCAATAGATTATTTTGACAAAATTTTATTTGACTATTTTAAACATGTTATTTCTGTTACATTTATTACTTGGAACATAATTAAAATTTAGAAAATATTTATACATTTTTTAAAAGTATTTTTATTAAAGATAATCGTTATGATAAAGATAAAAATGATTGGTTATGTCTACAGCAATTTTGTAAAAAAAAAAAATTCAAAAAAAAAATGTAACCGATACTGTTTGAAAATTAACGTATAAAACTACTAGCTTTGTATTTTCATAATTAAATAGTGTTCTTATCAGATTTTCAATAAAAACATTACATGTTAAATGTTTGTTTATCCATAAAATAGTAAAAAAAAAAACGATACTGACATATAAGTAACATGATATATAAACAATATAAAAAGAACAAATTCACTATGATAAAATACCCACCTGTTTAAGTATAAATAGTCTGGAGCAATTGTTATCTCCATTTTGTTTTCTATTTTTCTTGTTATCTCACATTCAAAAATACCATGATAAAATTATAAATAAAAATTTCGTTCTTTATTCGTAATATTATCGTATCGAATTTGGAGTTTATGAGTTTATTAATAATGTTCCGTACTATCGATACATACATATTATCGCATGAAAAGTTGTCAAAATTTTGCTTCTCGATCTATCTCGATTCTACCCAAATGAAGTTACATTACATTATATATAATATAAAATGATTATTGTAGTTATGTAATTTTATAGGATATAATAGTTTATAATAATGCTAATTAATATTTCTAATAATGTTCGATTCGCAATTTAATATATGAGAAAAGAATGATTATGATTATAGCAAAGTAATTTTGCCTTTTCAATTTCGTATAAAATTTTTAGAAATAATATAAATTAATGCCCAGAGTTTTATTGATTCTGTATACATATAATTGTAAATAATATGCGAATATTAGATTTGAATTTAGAATTGAAATTTTCTGTTTGGCGAGGTCTTAAAATAGCTGAAGTAGTTTAAACTAAAACAATCTTACGGATTTATTTACTAATCCCTTTATTTTCAACACTCGTATGTTGAAAATTTTCTGCAAAAAATTCAGCGTTTAATATGCCATTGTAATTATTAAATATTTATTTATTTATGAATTAATAAAAAAACATTATTTGTTTGTTTTCATTTAAATTAAGAGCCCAAACATATTAAAAATCAATTTTGTACCAAAGTATTGATATTATTTTTTTTATTTTTTTTTTTACGATTGCCGATTCTTGACTTAATTAAAATACTTACAATGTCATAATATAAAATTGTCGTTCTTCATTTACTATTTATATACAAAAGCTTAAATAAATATCCGAATTTTCTTAAATATCTACAATGTAACATAAATAGTTGATTAATTACAAATAATAAAAATTACTAGGTGTAACTTTCGTTTAGGGAATAATCAAGTTTGAAATGCAAAACATCTAAATCATAATTGATTAGTTACGAGTTTGTCTACATTCTACGTCCGATAATTGAATAACTGAAAAATTAAATTTGAATTGCGAATGATATGTTCCTGCATATTTTGAATATTCGCTAGTTTTAAAGCGATAAAGTATGTGTTCGCGTTTCAATTCAGTTTAATAGCTTCCTCGGGTGGTTAGGAATACAGGTCAAAAAAAAAAAGAAAAAAAACCACTTAAAAGTAAAAGTTTAAATTGAAGAGTAAAGACAATTCACAAGAAAATAATTTAATCCAATATTGGATATATTGTAAAGCACTTTATAAACATATTCACGATCATTTGCGTATTAAATCTTATATTATATTTAAAATTTACTAATACATTGTTGCCTGTACATCAAAGCCAATTTCAATTGAGCAAAATTGGAAAAATTTCGTTAGAACTAAAGAAGAGGAAAATTAATTAGAAATTTCATTTATGTATATACAAAGAAGAAAACATTCATAATCGAGTTTTGAATGTAATTGGAAATGTATTTGGCATATTCATTCACCAATAGACTTATCTAAACACTAACTGAATTTGCTTCACTTATGCTTTATTTATTTACTTCACCCTTCAAATTTTAATACGTAGTTAATGAAAAAAGAAGAAAAAAACATTTGGTTTGATTAAATAATATGTGATATGAAAAGTTCTGCGAACGTGACCTGCTTCTGATTCTGTTAATAATAAATAAAAATGGAAGTCAGCTTTCCCATGATAGTGCACTTTTTGCTCGCGAGTTCACCGTACTAATTTATTAATTCATAATCAACGGAAATTTGCTTCGCAGGTATATTTTCTGTGAATTTTAACCCACTAGGATTAAAAAAGAAAATCCTTAATGTCTCTCTTCATCTCTTGTAATTCCCGAGGCTATTCAGTAGCAAACATATAAGTCTGCTACCAAAAAATTTTGGAAGTCAAATCGTCTAATGTAAAATAGAAGAAGACAGCAAGGACGCGCGACGAACATCGGGAAAAATGCGGGAAAGGAAATTATTTGGATAGTGAGGTCGAGGATACGAGTATACGCTCGCCAATTATAAAAAACACGAGGAATATTGGAGATCTATTCAAGGTGAAGAAATCTTTAGTTTTTAAAAAACCAGCTCGATATTCTATTAGCACTTTTGCTTAATTGGACAAATATCAGTAATACGTTCCTGGCGTCTAATTTAATATCGCAGGAGGAAGCGAAATCGGCTATGAATTTTACTTTTTAAACGACATGGAAAATTCGCTAATTTATCGTCCCGTGATAGTAACGATCTTTCGGCGCGAGAGTCGATTTCTTTTTCTTAATCGTTCCCGAGGCTCGGACACATGGATTTTTAACTCAAATTATAGCTTACATATTTGCTTTTCATCTGATAAAGTAATCTTTCCAGCTAATATTAAATTTTTATTAAAAAAAAAAAAAAAAAAAAAAAAAAAAAAAAAAAAAAAAAAAGGGTTTTATTCGATGAAATTGGTTATTGTATTTTAAATGAATGTTTAGCTCATTTTAAAGAAAAATGTATTTTTGAAATTGGTTCTTGTATAAGAGTAGTGAAAAACTTTTCAAATTTATCATTATTTCTATTATACATATTTTAAAGTAATTTTCAAGACTAAATTGCGAATTATCGTACGTGACGTTTTTATGATGTCACTGTATTCGAAAAAATAATATTAAACAAAAGATTGAATATTTTATTACAAATATAGCATATATATATTTCATAGACTTTGATTATTAACGAGCTAATATTAATTTAAATTTATCTCTATTTGAGGTAAAACATTTTTTAATTAAAGAAAGTAAAAAAATGTAAATCTTTTAAGTTACACATGTGATATAAAAGAAATTAAGCTTAGATTAGTATAACAGTAAATGTCTATTTAACGATTAATA